GTTACTTGAGAATGAGCTTTTCCCAGGTATGATATCCAGCTGCTTTTAGATTGGAAATCCTAATGTCTTTAAATCTTTCTGCTGTTCCTGTTAAAAAGACAATCTTAAACCCAAGAGGCAACAATGTTTGATATAGGCGCAAAGACCCCGGCACTGGTGGCGCAGCTCCCTCCGCAACCCACTCGTTAAACTTTGTGTCGTTGTATGGTAATGCCCTGAAGTCAAATAATGTGGTCATGATAAATGTGAAGTAACAAAAACGAATATACTTTCCAAGGAATGCTCAAAGTAACTAGATCGCATGAAAACATGAAATCCAGACCGACACGTAAAAATATTATTTGCGAAAATGACGTGAAACTAGTTAAATTATATAATATGAACAAATTATTGATAATATTACCGAAAACAACTAATGATTTATACAAGCAAAAATGTCAAGTCTACTATTTATGGAAATTGTGGGTATTTGATGAAAAAAAATGAAAATGCACTATATAATGTAGTGCCTTACCCAAATTGCACATCAGAGCGAGCATAATACGGCGAATTAGATAGCGTAGTTTCGTCAATATCAAAGATCCAAATATCCTTCCCATCACCAGCAAGTGTGAGGCTCTTGGCATATTCAATTGCAGTGTTTGCTACAATTTCGCAATCTTCACGGTATTGTTTGCCTAGCATGTAATGGCCAACATATTGTTCACACTTCTCGGGCACCAGTTTCCAATTGCGGATGTTGTTTGTTTCCACAGCTAGACGCCAACTGAGGCAGTCGACATCCTGAAGCCGATAGCCAGCTGCACCTGACCGGGGCCGGAGAAGATGGATTTGTTGGGCCACTTGCTCTATATAGCCATCTGCATGACAAGTTGCAAATACAGTTGCCAAATACAAAAGTACTGCAGCCAACGTCATGTTTGAAGGTTGTATGAAGTCTTGGCATGAAATCTAATGAAGTTTGGTTGTTTATATAAAGATTTGCCACCAAATGAACCCTTATTGTGCAGAAAATTACAGATGGTATCCTTGGTGTTGCACCAAATTTTTTATTTATATTATGGGTGTCTTCCACCATAATTAACTTATAGATATCAAAATGTGTGTAGCAAGTAAAATACTCAGTCCAGAACAAAATATACTATTGATGAACCATCATTTAATCGTTGAGTCCTAGACGATTTGGGCATACTAAATATAAAAAATACTATTAAGATTGCTTTTCAAATTAGATGTGTCAAAAATTGTTCTGTAAAAGACTTGATCTAAGCCGAAGTCGCACTCGGCCGTGATGGATTTGGCTATAGGGGTCTATGAGTTGCTCTAGCTGCACTCATGGTCCGAGCAAGTTATTACGAAAAGAATTAAGTAATTATGTGATAGGATTCCTATTTTTTGCTTCTACATTCTTTCGAAAGAACTTTTAAAGGAAGTCTTATCGGACCGATTTCCTCTAAAAAGTTTCTTTACTAAAATAAACAATTTTATAAAATTAATCAAATGAATTCAAAAGTAACTTTTGAATTAAAAGTCATTTTAAACGGGCATTAAATATGATCGCTCTTCAAAATCGGATTGATAGGATCCAATTGACACAACCACCTCAAGATATGCTAATAGAATAAGACTAAGAATGATGATTACTAAGATAATGGATTAGTGACAACGACTGGCAACACGATAATCATGCTTAAGCTGTTAAACATAAAAAGTAAAGATAATTAACCAAAAATATTGCCAAGTTGCCTCGTCAACTTGCTGAGCCTTATATCATAAATGCAAAATTGATTTGACAAATATGTCCTCAAGGAATTTACCTGCCAGTGTATTTGTAGTAGGGTTTGGTAGGGGTGGTTAAGTAGATAAATTCCAATTCCAGCACGAGGCAAAAAAGGAAAAAAATAAAAAGTGAAAGGTCTCCACTACATAATTTTGCTCTGGTCATCTACACAAATAGTATTTAATGTACATGATAGAATGTAGAACAATGCTAACATATATGAATAAAATTAATTATTTAACTTTAACTTTAATTTTTATCAACTTATTTAGCAAAACTAAACAAGAGCTTAAATGGGTCCTAAATCTTTGGATTGTGGAATTTTCCGTCCCTATGATGTTAAGGGAAAATTGCAGTCACGATACCAAATCTTTTATTATGTTACACACTTGACTCAAATCTTTCATTTGTATCACTCACAGCACCAAGCCTTTAAAAAATTTGAACCAGGAGTCTAAATGGATGAAAACTATTAGTTCATCTTTCAATTGACCTAAAGTCAACAACTGAGCAAATTTTGACAATTTTTAAAAGGTAAAAAAAAAAATAACTTTACATTTTCATTAAAAAGAGATAAAATTAAAGAATTAAATAAAAAACCAAAAAAGAAATAAACTATTCATCTTCTCCACCACCTCACACACTTTACCCCTTAAAAAATTGTCAGAATTTCGTCAAATCTTTTGACTTTATGTCAACTAGCAAGTGAACTAATGGTTTTCATCCATTTAAACTCTGAATGCAGATTTTTTTAAAAGATTTGGTACTGTGAGTGATACAAATGAAATGTTTGAATCAAGTCTGTAACATAATGAAATGTTTGATACCGTGACTGCAATTTTACCTAATATTAATAAGAGAAAAAATGAATTTTTTTTCCCTACTACTTTTAGGTTTGGAATTCAAAATTATAACCAAATTCTCCTCTTTTTGCCCTCGAATTTTGAACCACCTAGTCTTTCTTGCAATTAGGCAAAGTGAGAAACTTTTTTAATCCATTTAGATACTCTAGTCTTTCTCGTAAATTGATGATGTATGTATAAAGAAAAAAAATTAAAGAAAACTAGTATATGCACAACATTAATCCCTCCGTTTATCTTTTCTTTCTTTCCCAATTGGTAATTACCAAATCACTCTCAATATTCACAAAAGAATCGTTAATGTTTGTATAAAGGAAAAAAAAAAAAACCGAAAAAACTTAAAATATATGTTACATTTATCATTGTGTCAAATGTCACTATTTTTCTTTCTTTGTCAAATCGTGCTTACACATGAAACTCATTCATTAATATCAAAAACAATCTACAATGGTCGCATAAAGAAACCCTCGTGTCCAATGCGGCAAGTTTTCTCCCTCTCTCTTTCTCTCTTGATTCATACCTATACACGACACTTGTTTAGTTTTAATAAAAGAAATCAATAATTTTTATACAAAGAGGAATATAAAAACTAAAAATATACACTAAATTTAATCTTGCAATCAGGACTATTATTTTAACTTTCCAATATTATATAGAAAGATAAATGAAACGTTCACGTGCATGAACCCGAGTACCCGACTAAGGTAGACACCGAAGGCCGTCAACCGACCTACTCCACGTGGGGGTCAATCAACCGCACCTTCAATGGTTGGTCAACAATAACATGTTTGAAGATGGACGATTATGGGCACGATCTAGATCCACACAACAATTGAATGGCAATTACACTCTCAATGACCAAAAATGCCTAGCACATGAAGAAAACCACGAACACGTGAGTGAAAACGGCCAGGTGCATAGATAAAAATTGAACGAGTATAAAGGATTTTTAACCGAATTTCTTACTTCAATATTTTTCTTTCCTTGGCCATATTATTTTCCTTTCTTGCTCTAATGTCGGAGGTCAAACGAAGGAAATAACTCCAATCTCTTTTTACAAATAACTAGGTGATGGAAGTGAATGACAACACATTGATTTGCTTTAAAAAGACGAATATCGTGACACGATAAGGTCACTTTCTTTGTCAATTAACACTTGATGACATTCGCCATTCGATGATTACAAAAGGCATCCACAATGTTTGTAAAAAATAAAAACTTCAATAATTTTATTTTAAGTATATCTGGTTCCCTCATCAAAAAGTAAATTTTTTTTTTTTTTTCCATTTTCTAATTCACATATATACAAAATCTCCACCCACCATATGGCATATAGAGTATCATTTTTCATAACTTTGAAGTAAGCTATATTTTCATGAGGAACACATGACAATTTAACGAGGAACTCGATTGATTTACATACTTTGAGAAATGATTATGCAACTGTAATACAAAGTTAGGAATCAACTTGTTTCTTTCTTAAGGATTGATGACTAACGTGCTTATCAACAATTGGTTGAGGGCTAATGGGGCAAATTTTCCTTTTATTTATTTTGGGTCAGCATTTTCTTCATTTCGGTGTGCCCATCAGAGGATTAGATTATGTTTGGCTAAGCTTAAAGTTATTGATTTTAATAAAGTAAGTTAAAATTTACTTTCTTGAACATTAAATTGTTGTTGGTAAGACAAAATATTTTAATATCCCTAACAAATAAAGAGAGTTTTGGAATCACTGTTCACACTTTCGTCTGATGGAGACGGCGTCGTTTTGGCATTAAAAAAAAAAAAATAGTAGAAGAAGCCGCTAGGAGAACTCGTGCTGTGTAGAGGTAATTCCTATGAATAAAGAGAGAGAGAGAGAGAGAGAGAGAGAGAGAGAGAGACTTTCTCGTTTTTAGGTTTTCTTCGTTTAGTTCCGCATCTAACGTTTTCAATCCCAAATCGTGGTTCCTTGTATCTCCACCACCAGCTTCCCAGATCCTGTACTTATTTATAGATCTACAGCTAGAAGAACTCGTGCCGTGTAGATGTATTTTCTTCGTTCAGTTCCGCCTCTATTAGGGTTTTCGATTCCAGATCGTGGTTCCGTGTAACTCGACCACCTGCTTCCCAGATCATGTACTTATTTACAGATCTACAGCTATTTCATTTGATTTCAGTATGGGTTTTAAAAGATTTTACTTATTTGCAGCTTGTGTTCTCCCTGGACCGCGTTTTTGGAGGAAAATTCGTGGGTCGTTGAAGCTGCGAAGCCATTACTCCCGTATCACTGAGGACTCCTCGTTTCTGGTAAATTTGTTTCCTTTTTTTTTTTTTGGGGATTGAGCATGTGCTATAGTGGTTCCTGTTAAAGTAAATTGGTTTTATTCACTCCCCCAACAATTACCTTCATTTACTTATTTCGATTCTCTCATTTAGAACCCTATTTTCCTGTACTCTCTTGATTTCTATTCCATTCTTCCAATTTCTTTCCCCAAATCTCGAGCCATCCGGCTCTCCTTCTCCAGTTCTTGATTTAGGGTTCAAATTGAGCGCTTTGCTGTAAGTTTTTCATTGTTTGGTTTAGTTTTACTGATTGTTACTTTTGTTATATATCAAAATAAAGAATAAAGAAAAGGTACTTGAAAACCCAGTTGTCACAGCTGATTTCTTGATGCATTCTAATTCGTAGCGTGTGCAATCTTGAATTATTTGTTTGCCTATGATTTTGTTTTGTTATGATTCGACCATGTTCTTGTTCTTGATTTATATTTATGGGCAAGACCAAGAACTACATCCAAGAACTCATCGAGAATGCCATCTGGTTCTCTTTGCCTCTATGTACTCAATGTTTATATGTTTAGATATTATTTTGTGCCTTTTTTATGTTTGGGGTCTTCTTTTGCCTTTCTTCAAAGCCACATTATCTGTGATGAAAGTGGAATATGGAAGTTTTCTGGGGTGGGTATGTGTACCCATTTGAAAATGATTCAATTTTTAGAGTATATGGTTTGTGTTTTGTGGGTTTTTTGTTTAATTGCTCTGAATTTTAAAAAACTCAAAATTTTAAAGTTCAGTTAACTTCCTGATTAATGTGGTATTTCTTTCTTATTGGGTATCTCTTGGCAGCAAAAATAATGGGTCAGTTTTAATTGTTTGATGTAAACAAATTTTTGTTTCCCCACTAATTTTGGCACGAATCGAGAATTTGATAAGAAGAAATTCCGCCTTTTGATATTTTTAAGGAATTGTATGCTATTTTGAGAACTTTATATGGAGAAATAATTTTGTGATGAACA